AAGATGAAGAATAGGAGGAATTTCAGTATGATTAGATGCATCTTATCAGAATAGGATCAAATTTAAATATAGATTGTACATCTAATATGAATACTAGAGATATAGATCAGAATTACGATTGGATCAACAGCCTAAAACAATATTATTTAATTATCAATTTAAATAATGTTAGCAATTTTGTGAATCAAGCTTCAAATTATTTGAGAAACAATATTAGAGAAGAAGAAAATGAATCAATAGAGTATCAAAATCTAAACGAAAATTAAAAAAAAGTTTTCAATCAGATAGAAACACATTATAATGATATACTCGCATGCAATCAAATTAAACCATTAAGAATATTAGTTATGGGAACTGCAAGTACAGGTAAATCATATCTCATTAAGGCAATATGAAAGCGCTTCCATAGTATAGTAAGTATAGAATTCAAAAGTCTAATACTTGTGATTGCATCTACAGGAGTTGCAGTATTTAATATCAATAGATCAATGATATACTCAATATTATCTATTTCATTTATAAACAAATAAAATATTGATTTAAATAGCAATAGGTTAAAGCAGTTATAAAAAAGATTAAAAGACATTACTTACTTTATTATTGATAAGAAAAGTATGGTAGGTCGACAAATGCTTGGATTGATTAATACGTGATTAAGATAAGCATTTCCTAATCATAAGAACAAACCTTTTAGTGAAAGATCTATTATAATGCTTAGTAATTTTATGCAGCTTTCACTAATACTTGACCTTCTAATATACATAATAAATGTATCACATGATATAATATCAATAGATGATATAGCATTATACAAACACTTTGAGAAGTGTATAAGCTTGATATCATTTAATAGCAATTAGAAGATTCTGAAGAACAACAGATCTTTAGAGAAATACTTTTAAGGTTAAGAGAAAGAGATTATAACTTAAATGATTAAAAAGTACTTATCACAAGATTTGAAAAAAATTTAAGCAAAAATGATTAAGAACAGTTTTCAAAAGTTATATTCATATAAACAAAATGGGTTGATGTAGATAGAATTAACAATGAGATGTTTAGATCTTTGAACCAACTAGTAGCTAAGATTATCGCAAAATATACAGGTAGATAGGAAGCCCAAAAAGCTGATTCAAATATAGTAAAGGTCTTAAAGCCCAATTGTTATTGGCAAAAGATTCACGAGTCATGCTAATGGTAAATTTATAGACTGAAAGAGGATTAGTTAATAGATCAATGGGAGTTGTAAAAGATATCATATATAAGAATCATGAATCACCTTCACTCTCTATAGCAGTATTCATTAAATTCAATAAATATAAGGGATCTATAATAACAACTTTAGAAAGGAATAAAGTCATTCTAATATTGTCTATTAAATGTAGTTAAAAAGGTAAAAATGCATTGCATTCTCAAATTCAAATGCTAATATATCTCGTATGAGCTATTACAATGCATAAAAGTCAGGAATTAATGCTAAAAAAGGTCAAAATAAATCTTAGAAATAAAGAGTTTGCTGCTAGTTTCTTATTTATTATGTTATCATAAGTGCGTTTATTCAATGATATTTACTTCAAGCAGTTTAGTTATGAAAGAATCGAACGCATTAAGAACTGCAAAAGATTACAAGAAAGAAAGGAAGAAGAAAAGCGGTTACTTTTCATGATAGCAAGATAACGCAACAAATAAAATATTAATGTTTTTCTTTATTATTTTGCGATGGCAAAGTTTTTTTTTATATTTCTCGTAAAAGCAAAAACGTAAATTTTTTTTTCAAAACAAAAATAAAAAAGTTGATAATGTGACAAAAAAATTTTTTTTCTTGTCCTTATTTTTTAATGATCATGTAATAATCATGCAATCAAAGGAATCAATTATGTATCGACTCATAATATGAGTAAGCAAACAGACAGATACTAGGTTTAGACATATATAATCCTTCACTTCATTTTAGACTAATAAAAATATATAATATTTTATATATATAATTTAAAAATTTAATTAAAATCTTAAATATTAATTGACAAATTTTAAATTATATAAGTTAATTTAAATAAAAACTTATAATTTAAAAAATTATATTTAATTTATAAAAGATAAATAATTTTTTTCTTTCTACTATAAATATTTAGATTATATATTATTAATATTAAAAATTTGACTTAAAAAAATAATTTACAAAAGTCATTGGATTAATTTCATGTAGATCATATTAAAAAGATTTTGATTAACATATTGCATTAAAAAATCAGATTGATTTATCTGATTTGTAAAATTTACAAAATTTATCTGATTCACCTAATTTATTTGATTAGCTTATTTTATTAAATTTTTTACATATTTATTATTTTCATTATAATTATTATTTTTATTATTTCTTTTATTTTTATCATCATTATAATTTATCTTATATTTTATATCTTTATTTTATTTTCTTTTATTATTATTTTATAGTTAAAATTTATTAAAATAGTTAGTTTATAGTATGGTAAATAGTTAACTATAATAAATTAATTTTGTATAAATAGAATAACTTTTTGCTTAAGTTGTAATTAACTTATTTGTAAATTTTTAAACTCTTTTATAAGTTTCAAGTTATTAATAAAGAAATCAATTTAAATTTATATAAATTTACTTTTTTTTTCAACATTGTTTCTCATCTAGGATTTATTGTGATATTTTACACTAACTTACTATTGAATTTGTCATTACGAATTTGATTAAATATATTTAAATTTTAAAACATAATAAATTGCTGAGTTGATTCAAGTATAACAGATACCTATAGGATATAGAGAAAATCATAATATCAGAAACTTCAACATGTAAAATCAACTGTTGTAATCTTTTAACTTAGATGTTAAGATAACTAAAAATGAACCTAGTGATAATATATATAATTAATATTATATATTAAAATAATATATTTTATTTTAATAAAAATTTGAATAGTAGTTAAGAAAATTTTAAATGATTTATTTACAATTTCTATAATTATTTAAATTATATATATATATAAATTAGCTTAAAAACTAAAATTAAATACCTTTTTATTTGTTAAGCTTTTATATATATTTTTAAAAGATTAAAAAAGAATTTATAATAATAATAAAATATTCATAAAAATACTAATTCTTAGGAAATATCAAATTATGATTTATTAAAATTCTTAAATAATTTGAAATTTTTATTTAATTATAATATACAAAAGAAGTGAAGATTTAATCATTCATTTATTCTAAAAAATTAATATAAAATATTCTTAAATTATTTATCAAAACAATACTTTAATAATATAAATTAAAGATTAAACTATCAAATTATTATATAATAAATTTCATGAAAATAATAATATTTATTGTGAAATAATTAGTCTTAAATAAAGTATTCACAATATAATATTCTTTCTTTTATTCATTGTTAAATCACGTACTATGTGATCATAATAAATTTGATTATATGATAAATTTTTTTTTAGATAGTAAAATGCCTTCTATAATTATTGATATACTTTTTTTTTAGAATCTTTGACTATATTATAATATATCTTTTTTAAATAGATTAAATGTTGATAAAATAAAAAAAAAATATTATGTAAAGATAAATAAATAAATAACCTATACATTTAAAGCTATAAAAGTGATTCTGCAAGATTCAAAATATATTAAAAAAAAAGAAACCTAAACATTTTAATAAAAAAAATACATATATCTTTAATTTGTTTTTTTGCTTGTTACAAGTTTCACTTCTTTAAATAAGGAATATTTTGAGAATAAAATTTTTGTGTTTTTTCCAATAATAGGTATTTAATTCATTTACCAATATGATGCTTTAATATGTAAATTCACCTTCAAAGATTAAAATATTAATTAAAAATTATGATAAATTATTATAAGCATAAATCACAAAAACAAAAACAACTGCTAAAAAAATTAAACAGTTATAAATTAATATATAAAGTTTACGTCTTATACTTAAACCATCTATAAATAAAACTTTAGACAAATTTTTGATTCACGTCTAATGTGATAAAATTGCTTTTAATAAATTTTTAATTTTTATATATTTTTAAAAAAAAGCTAATACAATAAAATATTATATCATTTTCAAATTTAGAAACAAATCAAATAAAAGGATTCCTAAAACTACAAACTTTAAGATATTTTTTAATTGAAAATGACTTTAACTCAATATTAGATTACACAAAATATCATAGTTATTAACATGAAAACAAGATTTTTCAACAAATTATTATTTAATAATATTAAAATTTTTATTTATAATTTTCAGTAAACCATACATTTCCCACTATCACCCACCCACTTTAATATAAAAAAAAATTTACCACTTATAAAAAAAGACTAGACTACATGGAGATCAAAAGTCGCCCTATCCGAAGACATGGGGATCACAAGTCAGCCTATAGACATCATCTCCTTCACAAGAGGAAGCGTATAAACCTTATGAAAAAGACTAGACTACTTGGAGATCAAAAGTCGCCCTATCCGAAGACATGGGGAGCACAAGTCAGCCTATAGACATCGTCTACTTCACAAGAACACTGAGGAATTGATAGATGATTTCTGTGCTTATTTATATTGAAATGTATGAAATGTTAAAATTGTGGGATTCGAAGATCTTCATTGTCGAACACTATTTATGGTAATCATATACTATTAAAATCGAGTTACGAGATTTATAATCAATGATTTTTTAAAATTTAATTAAGTTTAAAGTTCTTGCCATTTAAATTAAACAACTAGCAATTCATAACTCGGGTTCTATATGAATTAAACATTATTCACTTTTTCATTAATAATTTTATAAAAATTATCATGGAAATGTTGCCAATAAGCTATATGATTTATAATGAGATTTTACCGACAACGCTCCCATATAAATATGATAAGTAATGAGGAATTTCTGGTCAACTTTATACAATAATATTACATTCAAAAGGTATTAAATGAAAAGCAGACAATTATGATAGAAACATGTGAATCTTAATTGGTTTCCATTAATTTTCTTCGTTGTTCTTTTAATTTCCTAAGTGTATTCGCATATGATCCCAAAGGTGTCGAATCCTTGCTAACATCTCTTAAAAATGATTTCTATTTATTTTTAACAAATAAAATGAATAAATACTAAGAAAACCTTTGAAATTTTTGAAAATTAAATAAATGCGTACCGCTTTTTCGATATCCCCAGGCCCAAATTCAACATTTTTTCGATGTTGTTCAATAAATTTTCCATTTTCTTCCAACTATTTAAATAAAAATTAGTAAAAAAAAAAAAATTATTTAAACCATTTTGTTTCAACATACCTTTAGGACTAATTGTTGAAACTTTTTATTGATTTTGAAATTTTTTGAAGCTTTAATAAACCGTTTAATCTACATAAATTCAATTGATATTACGCTTCTAATAATGCGACAAAATATTAAAACGTTTAATTACAAACATACTTGAAAGACAGCCGGTATTATTAATTCTGGGAACGCTATTGATAAACAAAAACTCGCGTAATATTCTAATAGAAGCTCCGTAAGCTCTTCACAAACTCCATCCTATCAATAAAATAACGTTAAAAGTTATTATTTTACCCATGCGAATTCTTTAATAACAGATAAAAAAAAAATACCTGATACACGGTTGTACGTATGTAGCTTTTTGGTGCTTTCAAATATATTGTAAAATCTAAAGGTTTCGATGTAGAAGGCTTTGCATTTCTACAAACTTCAGCAGAATGCAAGATTTCAAAAAGGTAAGGTGCAAGCGGAATAAATGTTCCGGTCTTTTGCATTAAATGTATTAATGCGCGCATACAATGAAATTGAAGTGGGAAATACTGCGCAGATGGATTTAATTTTATTACTCCAATGCAGACTTGGACAAATGGATATATTAATTCTTGTAAAGAACTTTGTCCAGTTGATGCAACACTTTGTTCGTCGCAATATGTTGCCAATACTTTGGACCAAAGTTCTATACAATGTATATATTGCCAGTTATACACCGCACTAAAAGTTTCCTAAATTCATTTAAAGAAATTCGTAAGAATAATTTGTAAAATTTGAAAATATTATAAATAAATTCTTTCCTAATGTTTACCTCACTTTTCATATTCATGGAATTTCTAAGATGAATAGCCAATTGTCTTATATACCCAAAGGCAGATTGATAGGACCTTTTAAAATCGAGCCCAAAAATTTCAACCGCGCAATTACTCATGAGATTAATGGAAGTTATTGTAAATACAGAAGTTTCTTTACAATATTGGACAAATGTCGAATAAATGCCCTAATATAATAAAAAATTTAATAAAGTAACAAGGATTACGCGTAATTCCATTTATCTATATTACCTTTAGACATAGATCGATAAATGGGGACGGTGCGGTTAATGCGAGCTTTCGAATATTAATAAAAGCTACAACTCGGACTTTGTCTTCTGAAGTTCCCCAATGTTGTAATAAGACCTTTAAGTATTGACCCGCCAATTTTGGAAAACACGAATAATAAGGGATTAACTTTTCTGATTCTTTGATAATAAAAAATAATGTATCCTTTTCTGTTAATTGTTTAAGTATAAAAATAACACTATTTAAGAAAGATTTCACTAAAGTTTGCATCGATTTCCATTTTCGATGCGCACAAATCGATTTTCTATTGTAATAAACATTAATTGTTTAGAATATGAAATTGTGAAAAAAGGGGGGATTTAAAGGACTAAACTTACGGATTCCCGGAATCTTTTGCACGCAAATGATGATCAAAAACGTCGGGAATATGCTTTAAGCCAACTACCATGAGATTATTAAATACTAAAATAAATAAATAAAAAACATATTATTTTAATATATTTCTTTATAATTTAATAATTTGACGCGTTTAAGATAAAAATATACCAAATACCTAATGGATCAGATACTCTATATGCAAAAGATTGAACGGCCTCATCTTCATTAATGTGTGCCGCTGCACGAAAAGCCAAAACTAATGCATGCGTAGCGCTCAAAGCATTGCTCTGAAATAATAAATTTATGAGAATTGAGAAAATATATATTAATCATACAAAATATGTAGACTTCATACCTCAGTCATAGCAAGTATCCATTTATCGATCATTTCGGACGTTAATTCCGGAACTCTCTCATTATAATCATCGTCTAATCCAGCTTCTCTCAAAGCTGCTTTTTCCTCCTCCTCCTCATCATCAACATCCTGATGATTCAAGAACATATAAGTAATCAAAATTATATTAAGTTCAGGCCAAAGTTGACATTATTAATCTACCTCATTTTCGCTATCGAGTTCCATATTATTACTTTCAGCTTCCTTAATACCAGCATTATTTTCCTCAATGCTTTCTTCATTGCTATAGTCCTTTTCACTTCCTGAGTCTGAATCGAAATCTGATACATCGAATTCTATTAACTCTTGATCATTTTCGATCAAATATTTATGAAATTTTGGATCTTTTTCTTTCAATTCTTCAAGTTGTTTCTTAAGTTCCAAAACATCTTTTTGTAAAGAGAGCTTTTGTTTATGGGATTTTGGTTGTCTATTGTTTTGATCCTTTGAATCATTAATTACATCACTTTCTTCGCTTCCATCACTAATTTGAAAGTTCTCGATGTCTTCCTCCTCTAAAGTTTCTTTACTTGAATCTGATAGCGCGAGATCATTAATTTCTTTTAACCTAATATTAATAATTGTCAATTTGTTTCTTGTCAAAAGTTTAAATTTAATTAAATTATGTAAATCTTACCCTAACTCATCATCGCTATCTGAAAGTTTTTGTTCAGTTTGTAGATTTTCGGACAATTCAGATTCCTTTTTGTTTTCGCTATTTTTGGTTGCTGATAATTTTTTCTTGATTTGTCGTCTATCGACACTCTTTTTAAATTTCTGTACATTACGTCGCTTCTCTATTGTTTGTTTTAATTGCTTTTTTTGAAATTTTTTGGTTGCTTTTCTGTTTTTTGCCATTTCAAAAAATTTTTGAGATAAAAACAATAGATAATCAAATACATATTTTTTTTTTTTTGTTTGTTGATTTGACACTTGATAATCATTGGCTTGGAATTTATGCATAAAAAAATATATATATGCTCAAATTTGTGTTTCCTCCAAAATTTAACCTTTACAAATATGAAACCAGCAAGGAAACAGGTACGCAATTTTTTTTTAATACTGTAATATACGTTTATACAAAATTCATTCAATTACTCGTTTGTACAGGTAGAAGAATCCATTCTTAAAGTAGGGCCGAATAAAGTTGCTCCTGCTGACCAATCGGGAACTTTTTATAATATTTGGTATAATAAATGGTCCGGAGGTGAAAAAGTGTCAAAGTTTACAAGGTAAGGGTAACTAAATATATGGACCTTTTATGAGGTTTCAAAACTCTAACTTTGTTTTATTAGAGAAAAAGCAACGACTCGTTGTAACGTTAAACTTGACGCTGGAGAGACGAAAGGCGACAAAATTCCTGATACATATTTTTGCCTTTATTTTGCGAGGGGATGTTGTCCATTTGGGTAAATTCAAATTCTCTAAACCTCTAAATATTCATATTACTTTGTTGAATTTTGGCAACTTTTCAAGTTTTTAATATCTTAATTCTTCATAATAGGCATGAATGTAATTATTGGCATAGAATACCAACCGAATCAGATCCGGTTGATACGACTATCGATTCTTTTGGACGAGATAAATTTAGTGAATATCGAGAAGATATGGGTGGCATTGGTTCTTTTAATAGAGAGAACAGGACACTTTATGTTGGTCACGTGACAATATGCCCTGATATGGAGGTGAAAGGAAATGTTGCCCCTCATCATAATTTTATACTTAAAACTTTTTTTTCTTTTTTTTTTTGATTTTGTTATCATGATTAAACGTCTTTTTTTATATTAAAAAAATAGGCAATTGTACGAAAGCACTTTGAAGAATGGGGCGAAATTGAAAAAAGTAATTTGACGAAAATTATTTGATGATTTATTTTATACTTTCAGTTCAGCAATTCACTAATTAGATTAAATTACTATTATTAGTCAAAATACTTAAAGATAAAGGAGTAGCTTTTGTGACATATTATAGTTCTCTTAATGCTGAATTTGCAAAAGAGGCAATGAGCAATCAGAGTTTAGATAGAAACGAGGTGAGAAAAGGGATTATTAAATTTTATTGTGGTTTATACAGTATATGATAATAATACAACATGTTTTTTATCGAATGATTCGATTAGGTGCTCAATGTAAGGTAAGTCATTTCATTATAATATAAAAATTATCATTTAATGATATAATAATAATTGATTCTATTTTTGATAGATGGGCTACAGATGATCCTAATCCTCGAGCTAAAGCAGAATTTAAAAGAAAAGCAGAAGCTATGGCAGCACAAGCAATAATAAAAAATCTTCCCGCCGAGTTTACATTAGCGAATACTGATTTTATTAGTAAACGTCCACGAATAGACGATAATATTAATCAGGATTCTTTAGTTTCGGAGGAATTTCAAAATTCGGATGAATTAGAAACTTACGAAGACCAGCAACATGGACATCAACCAAATATAAAAGAAAATTTACAATCAGTCAAGAACGATTCGGATTCAACCTCATCTCTAAAAAGCAACTCAATTGTATCTAGTGAAACTTTAGAAAGTTTAAAAGTCCTTTCACAGGGACTCAATTTAACAAATTATAATTCCACAAGCAAAACCCAAGATCCTAAAACCGAAGCGTTGACAGAATTGGCTGCATATGGAAGTGATGATGATCAAGAAAGTGAAGAAGAAAAGAATAACAGATAACTGCGCAGGTAAGTGGTTTTTTTTATAAGGTATATATATATATACACACACGAATAAATTATTAGGTATGAATATAAATCGCAAAGATTGGACATAAATATTACTACTTGTACTTTTATATTTATAAAGTATTAATAAAAAAATTTTCAATTTAGCTTTTTAAGTAAACTAATTTAGGAATAAACTAAATTAACCTTAATTTGTTAACGACCAATAAAATGTTGAATTTATACTGCGCTCATGATTACCAGTTAAACTTTTTATACAAGCATGATATTAAATTTTGTGTTCCCAATGTAAAACATACAATAAAAGGAGTGGATTTTGCTTAGCGTTTGTGTTCCTCCAAAGCATAACTGTTAGAAAATTTCTTCCCTGAGGAAGACACAATTTCCTTTCCCTCTTGGTTGCCGTAATTCACACCCACTCCTTCTAATTTAATCTGGTTTACTCCTTCCACGACCTTTTATAAAACTTATAAACCTTTTTATTTTCAACATTTTGCCGGAATAAATTTTTCGGGTGGTACGTTTAACGACGTTCAATTTGTTTTAGGCCTTCAATACCATCTGACTGGCCAAGACCACACCTAAAATTTTTTTTTTCCTTAAACGTAAAGGCATATATTTATAGCACCTGGTAGTGTTATTTGGAAGCTTTCAACCCTATAACTGACGATTTAGGCAGAATTCACTCTTCACCCCATTTGAGCCCATTTTCCAACTTTTTTTTTTTTTTTTTTTTTTTAATTAAAAAAAAAAAAGAAAAACAACTTTTTACACACAAATCACAAAAAAAAAATATGGGTTCTATATTATCAAGTTTCAGCAAGGGGAATGACTCGTTGGTACCAGATTTGAACCTTGACCTCGAAAGTAAGTAATGGATTTTTTAAAAAAAAGTAATGGGTCAGTACTAAGTGAAATCCAACAAGCATCAAATGCAAAGGTGACTAAAAGAAACTTTGTTACTGGTGCTTAGTTTTTTAGAAATAAACGAACTAGTTTATATGGAGGATTCGAAAAATCCATATATTTACCAATAATTATTTGCCCGTGCGTATTTATCTATAGATAGAATGAACAAGCCTATTATTTATTGATATTAGAATATTTTGGGGATGAAGAAAATTGAAAAAAAAAAATATATATATTATTTTAGACCTTGCCTTATTGTGTGAATTTAATAGATTTGATTTCTTACGTAGTATGAACTTTGTTTATTCCAGATGCCACACCAACCCAAGAAGAATTTGATCTTCATAAACGTGTTTCTTCCCTTCTCCAACCGACCGATACTCTTTTAAATTCTTTACGGAACTATCAAGGGTGCGGAGAACTAATTAGGAAAGCAATATCAAACCCTACACCCGAAAATGAAGAAGAAGCTTGGAAAGCCGTACAACCTGCAGTTGCGAAACTAAAACAATATTACGAGTATTCTGTATCATTAGGTATTAATTAATATTATTAATATTATTACAACAATATGGTTAATTTTCAAATTATTTCTATTTATTTATTTTATCTTATTTATTTATTAATTTAGAGGGTGCGCTTCCTGAATTATTAAGCGCTTTTTGTGAAGGGAATGTTCGAAAAAATCTCGAAAAATTTCAGGCACTTACAAAATTATTGGCAGATATACTGGACTTTGCCTTTGAATTTGACTATTTGAAGGTTGTAGAATTCACACATTACATAATACATAATTGATTTAAAAGTATTCTTACCTTTCTATTTAATATGAAATTTAGATGAGAACACCATCAATTCAAAATGATTTTTCATATTATCGACGAACACTGAGTCGAGGAAAACTTGCAAATGAAGTTTGTTTTATTATTTTATTTTTAAATTAGTATTTGTACATTTATGAAATGAATTTCATTCGAATTTTTGAACTAAGATTAATACCCATAATCATCAGACGGATTTAAAAGCTGCAATGATCGAGGACGAATTGGCAACCCAAATTTCCTTATTTTATGCATATCCCACGACAATGTTGAAGAAAGTTACAGATGTAACTGCAAGTTTTGTTGAAAAGGTAATATATAAATTTCATCAACAAATAAATGAAGAAGGTTTCATTCATAACTATCATTAATTTGGATTGTCATTATAGAATAACCTTGGAAAAAGTGTATCAGAATGTCTATCAGGATTGGCGGCAGCATGCTATCATTCTGTTACAAAGAAGAGGGTTCAACGTCCAGAAATGGTCGATTTTTGTTTACGAGTAATGGTTGTGTCAATTATTTTATATGATCATATCGATCCGCAAGGTGCATTTAATAAGCAATCACCAATTAATGTAAGTTATATTTGTATATTTATTTGTTATAATCTCGATTTTATTTATTAATCCCTTATTTTTTTTAAAAAAAAATAAAAGATAAAATCATCGGTGAAGGCAATTCAAACCCATGGTATAAATGAATACACAAATCTAATGTCTGCATTGCGTTATAATACCAAACATTTAAATGATGATTCTACTCCAAAAAACGTAAAGCAGTTATTAAGTGGCCATTAAATTAGATTATATATCTATATTTATATTTAATAGTTTTTCATTACTACTTTTTATTTTTTTCAATTATATCTTTTTTTTTTTTTTATAATGGGTCGTTTTTGCAAGAATGGGAGACCGTAGTGGGCTGGCCCTGCTTGCTTGCCTTTTTTTAATACCCTTTTAATGAATCTATTATGTGAGCGGGCAAGTTGCTCCTGAAGTTTCTTTTTTTTGAAGTTTGAGAAGCATTAATTCACCTTTAAACTATTATAAATTTTTCTAAGCTTGTAGATATTTACTGCAAAAGTGAATTCATACAATCACTCCGGTTTCTCCAATTTTAATTACCCTATATAACACCTTGTATACTATTTAAAAGTTGAGTACAAGTTTTGACAAAATTGACTATTAATTTAAACAATCTCAATTTTGCTCGTTGATGAGTCTCACCGGTAATTGTTTTTAACACAATAATAATTAACTAACAACACTTACATCTTATTATTATCCTGAACTTTTTTCAAAATTTCATGGAATAAAAAAAAAAAATTTTAAGCCACTTGTTTAAAAAAATATTTAATATTAAATAAATTTATATTTATATATATAATGGAAATTAATTTAATAAAGAAAAAAAATTATTATTATTATTATTATTTTTAATCTCTTTACTATTATTTGATCTAGATTTATTCAATACGATAATCATCATTGTTTCTATATTACAAAAATCGTAAAGTTTAATAAATATTTTTAAAAATTCAAATAATTGTAGATATTTTCAGATTAAAAGGTGATGTTAAATTACACATAATCACGATGATTAATTAATTCATTTAAAAAAACACTTTAGTCACTAATAAAAATCTTTTTCTTTTTCCTAAAAATCTTTGTGATTAAAATAAAATCTTTTTTTGTTGCCGAAAATTTACAGAAATAATGTCCCAAAATAGTGATTTGTTTTTATTTGATTTTTATTTATACTCAATAAATCGCTAGGGACAATATAGACCTTACGTCCTCAGTAAATCTTAATGCATCTAAGAATGGTAAAAGATCTAACAAAGCTTCATCATGAGGATCACTAATCCAGCCTTCAATTGCTATTCCATTTTCTAATACAAATTTACAAGTAAAAATTTAACTCATTTTAAAAATTTTTTTTTTTTTTTTTGAAAGAAAAAAACGAGAAAAAAAAAAATCAATGGATATTAATATATTTACAACTCATTGTATTGATGATTACCTTGGTGCATAGCATACGATATAGGTGAATTATCGACCAAACAAACTTTTGAAAGGTCTGGTTCAATAATTGTTAAATCCTTGATGTAAGCTCCATTTCGATTGGTACAAGACTGATGTCGATAAAAATTATAAAGGGGAAAATAAAGATATTCTTATTTCATAAAAATCCAAATGAAATTTTTATTTTAAAAAGGAATATATTTTTACCTGTCGAAAATATCGATTACCGATCAAATTTTTATTTGGATCCAACCAATCAATCACAGGGTCAGCATATTCGGGCATAGAAGCAGTAAAAATAACTACCTTATACCATTCACTAACCTAAACAAAAAGACAAAAAAAAAAAAAAATTACTTTTAAAAAAAAAAATTTAAAGGTATCAATTATTCAGATTTAACATTTTTTTATACCTTCTTCAAAAAGTGATCCACATGTGGTCTCTTATACACATAATATAAACAAGCGTGATTGTCTACCATAACCTCAATCATATGTGCGTCGGCTCGTGATCCCCTTGATGTTGAATGTATTAAGGTTTCATCCAAATCCAATATAAGTGTCTTCGTTTTCATCATAGAAGAAAATGATGGTGTTGATGTCAGAGAGGATTGATGAACTGGTTTTGTGCTATTTTTCAAGCGATTCGATGAATTGGTAGCTTTAAGTGACGATATATTATCAATAGACGATGATGATGCGATTTGTTGTTGCAATTGTTTTTTTGATTTAAATCGCGGGGAACGACGAAGTGGTGGTTGCGGTGAAATATTATTGCTGGTATTATTATTATTAATGTTATTGTTAGTATCCGGCGAAACTGATGCTTGTACGATATATGCATGCTCGCCGGTGGAAAGCCTTCGCAGCCGTGCAGTTGATTTATTGAATATACTTGCTATATAGGTGCATAATATTGTCCAACAGTATAATAAAGAATAAGAAGGTGGTGTCGTTGTAGTGGTTGTAAGGAATTCTGTTAAGTTATTATTACTATTAACACTGCTTTCTCCATTAGTTGGTGAATTCGAAGACGATGCTGACGTTGTAGATGTTGTATATTTCTCCTGACTTACAAGAGATGAAGGCTTTGTGGTTGTCAGCATTTGCTAGTATATATTCGTAAAGCTTCTCGTTTTCCTCTCACAAATTAAAAAAAAAAGAACTTTGACTTTGCTTTTATACTCAATCTAAAGTATAAAGTTCTACTAAATATCTAATTTCTTCAAAATATTTGCATAAAATACAAGAACATACATACAATAATCCTTAAGGCAATTTAAAAATTCGTAAAACGTACTCGGTCACTGAAAGCATATATTTTGGAGTCCTTCGACACATAATAAGCCACTATGGGGAATGAAGATCCAAAAATCATGTGACACAATTACGTAACACTGTTCTTTTATTTGAAATGATTGGTAATTCGCACATCATATTAGAAAATTTTGGGTAAATAAAATAATGTATTATTTATAAAAATATTTGGAGGGGGGGAAAAAAAATACAGAAATAAAAAAAAAATCTTTCTTTTTTTTTTTTCTTTTTGCATCATCTAACAAAAACGTAAAAATGACCGACATAAAATAATGAAATAAAAACATGATAATGAATCAAAATAAAGAAAAAACTACGAAAAAAAAAAATTACTTTAACATTATTTTATAGTTCCTGATTTTAAGTGACCATTTTTTGTAAGATCACTTTTGATTATTATTGAATTGAATTCAATCTTCTTTCATCTCCCTGAACATTAATACAAAATCATCAGTAAAATATATCAAGAAAACTTAACAATAAAACCGAATATATAATAATAAACTCAAAAGAACAAACACTCTTACTTGTCATCAACGCGTTCACGTTCACCACTTTGGGAACGACTTCTTTTTGGGCTGCGGGAATCATCACGACGGCGAGGTGAAACTGAGCGCGAGGCGGCGTCCTTACCATTAGCAGGCGACTTAGATCTCGTACGAGAGCGACGAGAATTTCTACTACGAGGAGAACGGGAAAGTGATCTACGAGAGTTACGGCGTGGAGATCGAGAACGAGTTCGAGAACGACGACGACGATCGCGATCACGTTCACGGTCAATATCATTATCCTATATAACATTTAAATAAATCAAATAATTTCAATTAATTTATATTAAAAAAAATTAATTTGTAATAATAATAATAATAATAATAAAAAAAGGTAGGATCAATTTATATTTACCGGAGCTTCACGAAGAATGATACGTTTGCCTTTTAGTTCCGTATCATCAAGTTTTCTAATTGCATTCTTCATATCTTCGTACGAGGAAAATTCAACCACACTGAATTGTAGTTAATAAATAAAATGATTGGCTTTGAGGAAATTTAAATAAAATAAAACAAAAAAAAATAGCATCAAATAAATCTTCGTACCCTTCCCCATCGCGGTCTTTGTGGCAATCGGCAAAGGTCACTTCACCTGCTTTTCGCATTAGGTCCTTCAGATCCTTTAGTAAAAGAATGGTAGATAGAGGAGGAGGGGAAGTAGGGTTTGAATTGAGTTATGGTAAACGGACGTTGTGCTTCAAAGATCCTCTAGGGCTCTTGTAATTCCATATATGAAGAACCAAAATAAATATGCCAATGGAAGGAACAAGAGTCGGCATATCCAAAGAAGGCAGTAAAGGTAACCAAAATACTAGGATCCAATAGAGCCAGATAAAGGAGGAAACTTATACAGTGGCCTTATTGATACTTTGAGATTACTCTCTTCCTTCCAGGCATAAGAAACAACAATTTCTAATTTAATTTGGACTATTTCTATCCGAAGTATGGAAGATAAACGTTGGACGGTTCCCAGATTTGTCCCCTTTTTAATTACTTTTGACCATTTTATCTCACAGTAGCAATCACCCCTTTAAAAATATATTTTGGGATTCATTTGGGATATAATAAGACTTTCAAGAATAAAGAATCAAAATAAAAGCCACAACAAGCGAACAAGTAACCACGCGAGAAAGAAGAGTATAACCAAAGGCCAAATCAAAATGGTAGAACACCAGGGACATAAGAGTAGGGGACCAGAAGGCCAGCCAAATAGCGAGAGCTGCAGGCGGCAAATGTATGGATTTTTGGAACATAGTTGCATACCTGCCAGCTACAGCTTGATGACAAATTTTCCACAATTAATCGATATTGAGGATTTCTTTGCGGAGGAGCGAACCGACTATAGGATTGAAGAAAAAGATAATACAACTCATTCAGCTGATGATACATGTGGTGGAAAAAAAAACCCAAAAAACGATAATAATCAATGCATAAAGAAATTCAAGGAATGGGGAAGAGGAATAAAAGTTTCCAGGACTGTGTTGCAACGTGCCTGCCACGATCGCGGTCGCGGTCGTCCCGGCGACGATCATCCCTATCCCTGTCCCTATCCCTGCGGTCGTCCCTGTCTCTATCTCTACGATCATCCCGATCACGACGTCTACGTTCTCCTCGAGCGTATTCAACAATTAACCTGTTCAAAAATTTTTTTTTTTTAAAAAAAAAAGCAAAGAAATATTAAATATGAAAAAGAATCTAAGTTATACTTATTATATTAGATAAGCAAAAACGTATATTTAAAAAAGACTCATACTTTTCACCCATAAAACTCTTTCCATTAAAAGCATAAACAACATCATCAGCATCACGGTGGTCTCGAAACTCAACAAAACCAAAACCGTTCATCAATTTTATTTCTCTGATGGTGCCGTAATTACGAAAGAGTTTTTCGACATCTCGTTCACGAGCATCTCTTGCAAGACGACCAATGTAAACCCTGGTTGCCATTATAAATTGAAAGGTAGAGATTATTTGTAGAATTTAGGTAAGGAAAAGAATAATAACCTAATCTCAAGTAAAAAGGGTGATAAAGGTAAATGTTTGGTTAAAAAAGAAAAAAAAAAAAGATTCTTTTTAAATTTGGGTGTGATAATAATTTATTTGTTTGATTCATCAACATCCAACCCCAAATGATCAAATTATGGTATGGCGCAGTAAAATTTTAATATAAATTTTTTATTTTATTTTATAACTTTAATTAATAGTTTCATTAATAAAATTCAATTAATAACTCTATCTCATTAGTTCAGATATTTCACATAAATCAGAAATCAAATATACAAGAAAATTAGGTTACATAAATAGCTAATTTTGGGCCCTTTTATACAATTAATGGAATAATAAATTTTTCATAGTAAAAATTGTACAGTATATTAATGACAAAAGGCCAAACAATAAAGAGTGGGGGTAATAAAAAATTAAATAAGAATGAAATAAACGGTTCTATTTTAAAGCAGCAAAACACTGTGTAGGTCATTTTACATTATTATTTGAGGTTCCGTAATGTTAGTGGAAATATTTTTGTGAGGTAAGATGCAACCACCATTAACATAAATCTCGTCGTTAACGGTAACATCATCACCTAAAACCGAAACGCCCTCTAGACGAGTCTATTAAAAATATATATATAAACAATTACTTTGTATTTTATATTTATAATTTCAAGATAATCAATGAGAAATAAACATACCCATCGTCCAAGTATTGAATGCCATCCAACAATGCTATTTTTAACCCAGGCGAAATCCTTTACTCGCGCTCCTTCTAATATGACGCATCTTTGTAACCTTACCCCATCACCAATTATAACATTCGGACCAATGGTAACATTTGGTCCAATCCTACAATCTTTACCTATTTTGGCAGTAGGATCTACTAATACATTACCACCATGTACGTAATCGCAGGCAGGATTCGCCAAGAGATTCGGTTGTTTTTTGGCTAAATTTGAAAGGTATAAACAAGTGCCAGTCAGAAAATCTTTGGGTTGACCAACATCCATCCAGTAACCTTCAAGTTCAAAAGCATGTAATTGAGAGCCTTCCGCCATCTTTGGGAAAACTTCTTTTTCAATAGAAGTCGGTTTAAGCTAGAAAAATTATATAGAATAATTTTTTTTTAAAAAAAAAAATTTTCTAAAATGGTCCAAGTCAAATCATCATTTTTATACAAACCTCAATGCGATCTAAAATAGCAGGATTAAAAATATAGATACCAGCATTGATTTTATTGCTGACAAACTCTACAGGTTTCTCAACAAATTTTTTAATGCATGTTGAATCGGAATGGTTCACAATCACACCATACTTTGAAGGTTCTTCAACTTTGGTAACCTTGATAATTGGTGAGAGAGAATTGAAAGGTTAATACACGAAATATAAAGTTTCATTGGAAATTTAATAGAGGATATAATTAGAGACGATTATCCTCATTCAACCCACTCCTCAACATTCGTATAAATGGTAAACTAAATACATACAATTATAGTACCTTCATTTCCATGAGAATTATGAAAATCTCTTAATTGCTCAAATGGAAATTCACAAATAATATCGCTATTTAACACAAAAAAGGGCGAGGTATCTTTTCCGAGAATTTCACGAGCCAATGCAAGAGGACCAGCTAAAAAATCAATTCAAGTATAATTTAGAAAATTTCAAAAAAAAAAAGTTAAAAATGTTCAATTTAAAATATACCGACCAGTCCCTAAAGGTTCGGTTTCAACCGAGAAAGTGATTTTTACGTTAAACTTATCTTCATATTTTTTGAGGAGCGAGACCATAATCTCGGGCCGATAATTAACTGCCAAAACAATATCCGTCACCCCAACCTATAAAGGAAAGAATAAAATTGTTAAAATACATAAGAATCATGAATGATCGAAATTTTTACAAACCTTTACAAGTCCCTCTATTTGATGTAATATCATTGGTTTATTACAAAACTCCACCAATGGTTTTGGAAGAGTTAGAGTAAGAGGTCTCAGACGAGTACCAAATCCTAAGTTATATAAAATCGTTTTCATAAAATAAAGTAAGGACGTTTAAAAGGTAAGACATTTTGACCAAAAACACCTACCACCAACGAGAATTAGAGCTTTCATGATTATACAGTTTCTTTAAAATGCTAAAATGTATTCACGCAGCCAAAATATAATGAAAGTAAAATTCTTCCACTTTTTTTATTTAATAAGGTAGAGGAGATAATAAACCTAAAGGTTTCTTGGAATTACAACAAATATTTAATAATAATGGTGTAATAATTGGGAAATAATTCTTCTATACAGAAAGAAATGAATTGCTTTGAGAAAAAAATAAAATTGCAATGTACACTATAAACCAAAAGAGGCGATTCCGTGATAGTGAGATGTAGTGTAACTTTCTGAATCGGATTGCTATAAATATCGGCTAAATGGAAAACATCAAAATCACAAACGTGTCAAATGCAAACTAGTTCTCAGTCTCCAGTTCCTGTAACCGTATTTACAGGGTTTCTAGGTTCCGGTAAAACTACAATAATTCTCTCTTTATTGCCACGTGTACCAAAAGGATATAAACTTTGCTTGCTTAAGAATGAATTCGGTGATATAAAAGGTAAAGGCATTAAACAAATTTCCAAAGAACTTTAAACATGGTTAGATAAATATATTCAAGCAAGCTTTCTGATAACCAAAAGTGGATAGCGAATTGGCGCAAGATAGTAACCTTGCAGTGCAAGAGATGCTTAATGGTTGTTTATGCTGCGTCTTGGTTGGACAAATGAAATTGGCTTTGATGGAACTTAAGGACAAGTACAACCCTGACCGCGTTATTATTGAGACAAGGTAAACTTGGATGATTATTTTTAGCCTATTAAAGTCGATTTTAATCTAAATTTCATCACTTAGTGGATCAGCATTTCCAGCACCTATTGCATGGCAAATTCGTGAAATGAAAGATGAAGGATTCATATTGGATAGTATTATCACCGTGGTGGATTGTGTAAATTTTCGAGGATATGAGGATACAAGTTACACGGCCAAGATGCAAGCTCAATATACTGATGTGATTTTACTTAATAAACACGAATTGGTATTTAAATTTGATTATATTTTATTGAAATTCACATGAAATAATATCCATTAACGAATGTGATTTTTATATAGGTGAATGAACGTGAACTTGATATTGTTATCGATCATATTAATGACCTTAATACAGACACGCCTAAAATTAAATGCGAGGGTAAAAATGGGGTTTCTCCGGACCTTATTTTCGGAATTGATACAAAATTATTTGATTTGGCAATTAAATTTTCTGAACTTATCGATCCAAGTATCAACAATCATCATCAAAATGAAATTGATTTAATTCAAATTATAGTGACCCGTCAATCATCTTCATTAGTTTCTCCATTTACAAAAAAACATTTTGAAACCTTTCTTGAATCCCTTTCAAATAATGATATTTATCGATTGAAGGGATTTGTACGGTTAATGCATGATTCCAATGAAGGAGAAAATAGTAAACTTTATATTGTTAATCATGCGTTTGGACGATACACCCTTACACAAATTCAAAGGTCATTAAATAATTCTGACGAAGAAGACATTCTAATAAAGATTACTATAATGGGCGTAGATTTAAGAATTCATTTACAGAAAATCAAAACTGGACTTTGTATTAATAATGAACATGTTTCTTTACATTTGGCTCATAAGCATTAAATAAATAATTTATTTATCATTTTGTTATATAAAATAACTATTACATCATTATTTTTAAAATTTAAAAATAGTTTTACTTTTTTATTTTAAACAAATAAAATCCAATATTACCAAAAAATTTTGTAATTTATAAAATCTTATTTATTGAAATTTAATTAATAAACAATAATTAATAAAAATGTTTTATTGTTAATTTTTAATAAAAAAAATATCAAACTTACTTAATTAATAAAACATTTTGTTTAAAATAAAAATTATTATTATTAAAAATAATAATTAATATAATACAATTAATATTATTTTAATATTTATAAAAATATATTTTTTAATTATATTTTTATAAATATAAAATCATTACAAAATTTGAATTATTTTTACTTTATCTTTCATAATTATTATCACTTAAACTGTAAAGTTTTACAAGCAAATTTGTCTGCTTATTTTATTATAAATTTCCTTCTTATTTACTTTTATGAAAAATTAAAATTTCTAAATTTTTTTTTTTTTAAATTAATTTTATAAATATATATAAAATTATAATAACTTTTATTTTTTAATTATATAATAAATAATTTAAAGTTATTTATAAGCTAAAAATTTGTAATTTTTAAAATTTTTTTATATTAAAATTTTATCAATGACCTTTGACAATCTTATTAATATTTACTTTTATCAATATTAATTATAATAAAATATTATAAAATTTATATATCATGAAAAATAATTTTAATTATTATGATTTTTATGATTTATTAAGAAATTTTATGACTTTATTAGTAGTAAAGTAATTAAATTAGTTTATAAATATATAAATTTTAAAGAAATTTTTAAAAAATTATTCCTTTAACTGTTTTACCTACAAATTTATAGGCAATTTTATTTATTAATTATAATCATTTTTAATTATTTTTAAATGTTTTAAAATTTATTATTAAAAATTAATATATTTATAATAAATTTTAAAAATAAATATAATTAACTGATGATTTTTTAAGATAAATAAATAATAAATTAAAATAAAAAAAAAATCAAAATTTTAAATTTATATAAAAATACTATTATTTAATAAATCTTAATATGATGAATCCAATAAACTAAATTTTAAATTTTTGTAATTATTAAATAATAAATTATTTTTAAAATTTTTAAAAAATTTAAAAATTAATATATATTGCTAATTATAAATTTTAAAGGTTTAAAAATATTATCATTAGATACATCATAATATAATAAATCTAAAAATTATATATTTTTTTTTTAAGGCAATTTCTATTTTATATAGATGTATTGAATATAAGTTATGTAATACAGTTAGAATTAATATTACTTTTACTAGCATAAAGAAATTAAGAAATTACCTGTATGATGATCATGTGACAGATGAGAATGATAAATAAGAATTTTTCATCGAAAAAATTCTAAGTTCTTGAAATAAATAGTAAAAACTAAAAATGGAAAAGTGTGATATTAATAATAAATATTTATTATATAATATGAATACATACACCTTATGTAAACTTACAAATTTTCTTTTTATAATTATTAGATATCAAAATATTCTAAGTTTTCTAAAATGGTTTAAAAACAATTTTATACTTATAGTTTAAGGGATAATAAAATTTTTAAAATTTAATTTTAAAAATTGAATTATTTAAAATATTTCTTAATAACTTAAAATTTCTTTTAATAAAATTAATAAAAAATATATTAAACTATATTTTTTATATAATTATTATATTACTAAAATAATATTTAATATTTTATTAAAAAATTAACATTTATTTTTTAAGTTTGCAAATAAATTTACTTGCTAAATAGTTTAATAAATAGGTATCACTAATAATTAATAAAATTTTAACAACTTTAGATCAAACTTTAAAAAGAAAATGCTGATATTTTTATAAATCATTTAATTCTTAAAGAAAATTTTTAACATAAAATTAAGATTTAAGTATTAAAAACCTTTTTTGTTATTATAACACTAAACTTTATTTAATCTACTATACTTGATTTTTTTACAATTTCAATAATATTATCTATATAATTTACTATTATTTTATAATATAATTTTTTGATCAATCTAAAATTACTATTACACTTGAATTTAATATATCTAGACATTATAAAGGTTAATTTAATACTTTCTTAATAATTACAAATTACTAAATATAAGTAAATCAATAGTAGTATTATTTTTATTCTAATTACTATATTATCATAAATAATTTTTAAATATTTTTTAATTTTATTCAATTTTTTAATTTCATTAAATAATATGTTCAGTATATTATTAGAACTTTTGCTAAAAATTTTGTTTTAATTTTATCTTTATCAAAAATATAATTAATTTATTTATGTATTGCTTATTTTAATACTAAATAAAATATATTTTATATAAACTAAAATAATAGATCTTATTTACTTATTAATCAGAATAAGACAAGTAAACATTTTATGCTAATTGTATCTATAATAAGCAGTAGTATTTAATATTATAATAATCAGCTTTATCTTCTATTACAGTGTAATTATTAATTAATTTTCTCTATTGTTTTGCTAATTTCATATTTTTATTATAATAGTTTATCTTTAATTTAATCTTAATTAAATGTTTTTATACTTTTTTAATAAATCTTTCACTTTATCTTCCTTATAAGTATTATATTATAAGCTATTCTAAAATGATAGCAAATATTACATATATCTATTCTTAGACTTATAATTTGAATATAAGATGTTAGTTTTTATCATAATTTATAAAATACATCATATATTAATTATTTTAATAAGTTATCATTTTTAGACTTGTAATAAAATTATAATAAACTAATTTATAATTTATTTTAATTGGTAATAGTGTAAATGATTGAGAAATACAATTGATATTTTTATAAGAACTTAGTAATCTATAAATTCCAATATAATTTTTAAGAAAATTCTTTAAAGTGATATTAAATAAGCTTATGATCTAGTTAGCTTTTTATTACTTTTACATTTTTATTCATAAAAAATTTCAATAGTATATCTTATTATTTAATTTTTCTTAACCTTATCATGAGTAGAAGTAATATGAGGCCTTTGCAATAGAAAGGGTGGAAACTCAAAAAAAAATAAAAAATGAGTTAATAATAAATCTGAACAAATTATAGTATTTAAAATATTTTTGGCTTATAAACTAAAATTTTAATTTTTTTAGAGTTTCCTCCCTTTCTATTGCAAAGACCTCATATTTTTATTTATAACCTTAAAATTCTTAATTATACTATTTTTATAACTTAAAATAAAGTATAAAATAAGATATAGCCAATCTGAATTTTTATTTAACCTTACAGTTTATAAAGTAATTACAAGATTTATAAACTTATATTATAATTATTTTTGCTATAGTTACACATTTAGATTAAAATATAGATAAATTATTTATGTAATAGCAAAACTAGAATATTATAATTTATAGCATTTTATTGATATTAAATATTATTTTATATAGAAGAAATATCATAAATTTCTTTTATTATAGACTGTACTATAATTATACTTTAGCACAAATTAATGAATTACTAATTAAATTATATTTTGATAGGTGAATTATTATAATTATTTTATTAATAATTTATAATAAATATTGAATTAATATAATTAATTTTAATATTATCAAAATTAATTAATACTAAAGTATAATTATAACTATAAAATATAGGCTCTTTATAATAGAAAGAAAGGAAACTACCAAAAAAATTTTTTTTTTTATTTTATAAGCTAAATATTATTTTTTTTAATAAAATAAGTTCAGATTTAATATTAACTCAAAAAAAAATTTTTTAATAGTTTTCTCCTTTTCTATTGCAAAGAACCCATATGTAAAAAATATAATACCACTTAATAAAAATTCTATACTATTAGAATTAATTTAATTCTTAAGACATTTAATATCTGACATCATATCATTAAAGAAATATATAGATAAATTCAAATAAATCTTTTACACTTGATAAATTATATGATCTTAAGTTAATGTGAATAGGATACGAACAGTAAGTTTTTTCTTTAGTTTTGATTTTATTATACCTTTCTAAATAAAACTAAAATGTGATAATCTTATGATGATTAATAATTCATACTGCTACATTAGCTATAAGCAATTTTGAAGAGTAATTTATAAAATAGTTTTCAATTTAGTATACATTTAAATAAACACTTAAATGATTTGTAATCACTAATCAATTCATCTTATGATTTAATCAAAAGACTTGCTTTTACATACTATCATACAACCATATTTTATCTAATGATTATTTTCTTAAATTATATTAAATATTATCTTTAAAGTTTATGAGTTTGCATTTTACATTTTAATTTACCTTATATATAAACTGATACAAATTTATACTTTAAATTTTTTCTTAATAATTAATAAAATCATAAAATTTATTAATAAATTATAAAATTAAAAATTTTATAATATTATATTATAATTAATATAATAATGATAAAAAATTAATTATGATTTTTTTTAATATAAAATTTTACAAATTTTAATTTTTACTATAAATAACTTGGATTTTTTATTATAATTAAAAAAAAAATAAAAATTACTATAAAAGTAAATCAGAAGGAAATGATGATGACTATATATATTCTTTACTGTAATTAAATTCCAATATAAATGCTTATAATATAAATTTCTATGAATTAATAATAAGAAAATCGAGTAACACAAATAATGGCCGACTTACAAACAAATTAAATAAAACCAAAAATTCTCGACAAAAAAAACCAAACAATTCTCTCTTTTCCATGGCTATGTTTAATGATTTCCTTAGCTTTCTGATCGCAATCTGCATAATCGTATGGATAGTTAAAAAATTACGAGGTAAATTTATTTTATCATTTAAAAAGACATGGCGCCTTAACAACAAGCTTATTTAAAGCAGGTCAAACTGCTCAAACGGTTGTAGGAAATCGTAGAGGAAATGATGTAGCGAACGAAGTCCCTAGAG